AAATAATCTTTGTAGTGTATGGAATGTCCGCACGCTCTATTATGATTCAACCCCAGAGCATGGCCCGAGATCGATCTCCTAGACCTGGGCTGGCTAGCCGCTACCTAGCAATGTGCTCATTGACGATCATAGTAACTATTGCAAGATCATCATTATCGTCGGACGATGATGAACATATGAAGTTGTTGTAAAAAAAACTCATCTGAGATGTCCACCATGATGAAACCGTACCTCACTAGACGGAGGCAGGCGTGGATGAGCCTTGGTCGACTAGGTCAAACAACTAAACACCTTGCGGGCGACGACGGGGGTGAGCGGTGATGAGTCGCGACCGGTGAATGGAGCCCTCCTTGGCCTGCCCACGGAGACGGAGGCAGCAGAGCTATCAAACCCCGTGTCCTCCGGCTGCAACCTTGCGGGTAGCGGTGGGATGTCGACGGTGGCCGAGGAGTAGGCAGCAAGCCGTGGATGCGGCGGCCACAATGACAACAAAAGTGGGCGGCGATGGATGTGGCGGTGGACGTGGGGCGGTGACGCGAAGGCCGAAAGTGGGTGCCGGTGATCGCGAAGAGGGTGTGGTGCTGGTTGGAAGGGGGGATGGCATGTGTGCCACAGATGGGTGGGGGAGGGGAAGACGCTGGGAGAACGCCGCAGGCGTCCGCTAAGTGTCCGCGCGGAAGTAAATCGAGCCCAAATTTATGCTAGAAATGAGTCCAAACAGGCACCCGTCCGTTTGCTTCAGTGCCTCGGGCTGCGTTATTTGTCCGCATGGATCCAAACGGATACAGACGGACGAAATGAGTTGGCGCTCACTCATGCGGGATCCCTTGGAAAATGATTAAATTGATCCTTGCAAATAATATATGGCAACTCTGCGACGATTGCTTAACATCATAATATCAGGTGGCTCTAAGGGCATATGAATACAGATGCCTCATGAAATAATTAGGTTAAGGCATCTATATTGATTTTTTTTCTCCAATGGAATCTATCATTAGTGGGCCTCATCAAGAAAAAAAAAGACTCTCACTACATATGCATCTCTACTCTCCACAACTTTTTCAGCTTTATGCACTGGAACACAATTTTTCGCTCCAAACACCCGCCTTCTGCAGAGGGTCTCGCTTTTTCATCCGAACCTACTTTTTTTATCATCTGATCCTACATGCCTTACGGGGTATCACCCGAAGGCTATGGATTGGTCATGCCCTAATAATGCTTCATCTATTTTTAACCTACTGAGTCAGCGAGACAGTGACAGAACCAGTAAAGTAGGTCTACCAATGAATGGTTGCTCGAGGCCTAGGAGCCTTTAGTTTAGTTGGAGCAGTTGTTCACTGACGTGCGACGTGCGCAGCATCATGAGCCCGTGGCGCAGTCGATTTGGTGCGGGGAATTTTTGGGTTCATGCATGAATCCAGTCCAGCATCTATCGCGTCCTGTTAAAAAATCGAAGTGTAAAAACGTGGGAACGAATCAATCAATCACGTACAGGAACCGTCGCTGCAGCAGGTGCATATGAGCGGGTCCTCGTACTTAGAAATAAAAATAAAATAAAATACTCTAAATGAACACGCTTTTTCTGAACTTGTGTATTTTGATTTTATTTCTGAAACGAAGACCACATGTTTGCCTTTTTTTCTCATTCGAAGAAAAAATAACGTTTGCCTTTTCCCTCATTATAAGCGGTGATCCAAAACTGTATCAACAGTAACGGATCACGCAGTGACGGTTCAACCTCCGTATTTTTCATGAGAAAGCCTTCATTGCTAGCTTTATTAATCATCAAATGATGTTTACATCGTCTGTTTCACATAGAAAGATTGTTTGCACGCCCTCACTCAGCTAGCTCATGAGCAACTACATTAGACTCTCTATTACAATGCCTGATAGTAATCTTTTTGAAATCTCTCAACATCTCTCTGAATCATCTATAACTGGAGCCGCGCTTCGACCTTCGTTTTAATTTTCCGCAAGAAGTAAAATAACTAATAATGAATGAAAACATCAAGTCATTGCGCCAATAATAAATTGTTTTTCTTGATAAACACATCAACTATTTTTTCGAAACGGAATAAACACATCAACTATCAAAATCCAAAAAAAAACCACTTTCAAAAAAGGAAAATCCAAAGGAAACCAATGGACCTGACAACACATACTCTCATAGGTCCTTCATTGATGCTGAATCGAACAACATTGAGGTAGAAAGAGGAAGAGACTTCGTTCCAACACAACATCATCATCACCTCCTCTGACGATGCTGCCAGGAAACTAAAAACCAAAAGAAAATATGACTTACTAAAAAATAACGAAAGAGGCAGTCCTCGCTCCTTCGGCCCCCGGCAAGGCCACAGAATAAGGGCATCTCCAGCCACGCCCTCAAGAAGGCCTCGCCAGGCGATTTTTTCGCGTCGGCGCCAAAAAAACGGCCCAGTCGCGTCCCCAAAAACACGATTTTCGTCGGCCTGGGTCGAAAACAGCGCCGGCGGACCCAGACCGAACCCGGCGCGCTGGGGGGCGTCCGGGGGCGCCGGGGCAAACTGTTTTGGCGCGAAACAGCCGCGGGCCCGCCGCGTCAGCGACACGGCGCCTCGTCTTCCCCCAACGGCCTTGGTTCTCGCGGGGAATCAATGCCAAGGCTGCCGCCGGTCAGCCTTGCCACTGATTCCTCACGGGCGGCGCGTCACGGGACGGCGCGCCGACGCCTCCCCTCCCTCGCACGCGTACACACGGGTGCGGCGCGGCTATATAGCCGGTGGCCTGCACTCGCCTGTGCCCACACCAGCCCCGCCCCTCGCCGCCGCCCAGCTCCTCCCTCTCCCTACCTCTCTCGAGCGCCGCCGCCCAGCCCCTCCCTCTATCTCTCTACCTCTCCCGAGTCCGTCGCCATGGCGGAACGCTACCCCGGAGACGAGGCGGCGGCCAACGGCTTCGGCCGCCGTTCGCTCCGCGAACAGGAGTCCTGGCTCCTGTTCCAGGCGAACATCCCGGCGCCGCCGGACATGCGCGCCGGGCCGACGGGGTGGAGGCTCAGCGCCGAGGGAGTGCCCATTCCCCCATTGCCCGACGCCGTGGCGAAGCCGCAGTACTTCGTCGAGGAAGTCGAGGTCGTGCGCGCCTCCCTCACCGACGCCCAACTCTCCCTCCCCCAGTACGCCGCCGACAACCACGCGGCTTGGGCGGCGTATTTCGAGCGCCGCCAGCAGCAGCGCTTGGCATCCATCAACGGCGCGCCGGTGGTTGGTGGCCGGCAGAACAGCGAGGGGCGCCACCTGTGGTGGGGCGTCCCCGGCTGCACACTCGAGGGCGTGTTGACGTACCTCGAGGGCGGCAACGACCCGCCGTTGGCGTACCCGGCGAGGGCGGCCGCCCCGGCGCAGCACCGACGCGCCGGGCCATGGGCGCCAAGGAGGTTCGGGTCCTCCTCCTCTTGTTCCTCCTCCCGATCTTCATCGCACTCCTCCGGCACTCCGGCCCTGCTCGGCGTCAAGGCCGAGCCCGCGGCGGAGAAGCCGCTCGGTCGGCGCACTCGCAGCGCCGGCATCGTCATCAACGAGGGCGGCCGGCGCGCCTGCTCGTCGGCTCCTCCTCCGCGCTTTGTCAAGCCAAAGACGGAGCCGGGGCTCGCGCCGGTGAAGAAGGAGCCGGCCGCGCCGGTGACGACGGAGCTCGACGACGACGACGTGGCCCTGGAATGGGCGTGCAGGGACTCCATAGCTATGGAGAAGGAGCGCCTGGAGAAGGCGAAGGAGCGCCAACGCGCCGCCCTGCTTCGCTTCGCGGAGCGTCGACGCGCCCGCAACGAAGGCGGAGTCATCGTCATCTGCGACAGCGACGTCGACGACGACGATGATGCGCCGCCACCAGTCCGCCATGGCGACGCCGGGCAGGGGTCCAGCAGGGGCGCCCGCGTCAAGGAGGAGAAGGCCGACGACGACGATGGCGGCGACGGCAGCGACTTCAGCCAGTTTTTCCTTTAGATTAGTTTATGTATATGAGCTATGTAATGAAAATCCACAAACTTCGCCAAAATGTGCCGAAATTTATCGTGTTTGGCCAAAATTTATCGTATTTGGCGGAATTTCATCGTGCTTAAGCCGAACTTCGCCGAACTTCTTTTATTTTAAAACGTGCCTGGGGGCAGCCCTGGGGCCGGCGGCTGGGGACCAACTCGCCCCAGGCTTAATTTTTGCGTCGGCTCACATTCAAGCGGCGATTTTAGGCGCCCCCAGGGAGCCAACGGCTGGAGATGCCCTAAAAGACAGGAGGCGGACCAAGATGGCAGCGTGGAAGAAACCATAAGGGACGGTGGCTGCTTCTATTTTCCTTGGGCCGAGAGGTCAGGAGAACACAGGCGCTGCTGCTGGCTATGTGTATCTGCTACTCCCTCCCATAATATAAGAGTGTGAGTAAAAAACACTCTTATATTATGGGACGAAGGGAGTATATCCGTTGATCAAGAAAGTGTCGATGACGATAGAAAAGGAGAAATTGTTAGTCTCCAAGAATGAAACCGCCATGTCAAATCAACGCTACCCAATCTCCATCAACCAGCTAAAAGTGGGTTTGTGCACGTATCATCAGGATGCTGGTGTTGGCGTTGGCGGTGGTGAGTGGTGACCAAACTTAAATACCAGACCAGAATCACTAGTCGGCATGACAACCTTGCATCCACCTACCATAAGTAGGCGTTGGCAACAGACAAACGGGCGAGAGCATGAAGGATCAGAATGTCGTTCTTTTTTGCATAAAATATTTCTGATTCATGAGTAGAGGCAGAAAGAAAAGACAGCAGAAAAGTTATCGGGACATATCCAACATATAGTAGTATCCACGACCTAAAACACAGAGCACATACAAACGTATAAAATTATTGTCCTAACTTAAAAATGACCAACACAGCGTCGCAAGTCTGAATTTCGCCCATGCATCACCATGAACTGAACTGCCAGCCAAACACTCGATCACCATGCAGAGGAAGAAGAGGATGATGAATGTCATGAATGTGTAGTAGAGGTTGCAGATATTACAATGTGTACCGCTAACTCCCTCTTTATCAGCAGCAGGGTCCTGAAACAAGCTAAGGTTTGGCATATAATCTTATTCTTCAATAATTGTCAGCAAGGCAGCCATAGCAAGTGCATTATTACTTACTCCTAGTACAGCATAGAGAGCTGGTTCAAGTAAACTTTGCCACATGTAATGATAAATTAATAGTTTATGTTATACTGTTGGTACGATAAAAGCTGTGCAAACTGGTCCCGCCCACCCAGAGCATTGTTTGCAGAGCTCTAGGGTGTAAGATTCACCATGCAGGTGCCTTGGACTTCTCCACAAGAATGATCCTACCATTCCACTCAGTCTCGTCGCAAGCTCGGATTGCTGCATCAGCGTCCTCATCCTTCTCCAGGGATAAAAATCCAAAGCCTCGAGAATCTCCAGTTCTAAGAAAAATTGCAAATTAGGTTAACATCTAGCAAACCTACTTGACAGAGTACAAATGTAGAATGATATTGCCTGGTTTTTTCAGTATACCAGAGTTATTTCATATATAAAATGTTCAAAAAAAGCTCTTATCATATAGTAGTACAGAGTACGTTCTCTGCCAGCCTCATCATCAATTCAATTTCAACTAGTATTAAAAGAGAAACCATCTAATATCCAACTATTTTTGACCATTTTAGTTCAATCGCAACGTAGTACAAACTACAGTCACCGACAGTCCCATCAATCTAGCTTTCTCGTGGTTAATTAATTAGTAAAGGGGCAAACCAGGTAAAATCCAACCAACATCGATTGCTTATAGTTCAATCATAGCAGACATCGCAGCACAAAATTTACCAATTATGCTCTTGCAAGCTGAAATATAAGTGTATGCATAGCATGCCTCGAATATAGTAGAAAAATAATTAGGGGTACTTTTTCTTAGATGTTTCCTTGATCCACATGCAGACAAAATACAACCTTATTTTCAAACGACGGTAGATGGAATCCTAAGTACTCTCCCTATATTTAAACGCAATCCATCAAGTGTTAAAAATATGAGACGGCCTTACAAATCATGCAGCCCGTTTATGAGTTGTGTATCAGTCTGACAAGGTGTGCCTTGTCCATGGTTTCAAAAGGAGAAAAAATGCAAACTTGAGCCGCAATGGAGGAAGTGATGACAAACACTGTATTATAAACTAAAAGAGCCTGCTTGGTAAGCTAAAATGAATTGGCTTGCCAATGTTTGGGGTCAGGCCAGTTGAGAGCAAACCAACAAACTGTGAGAGAAACCACATTGGAAATGTTGGAGCCAAACCAAATTCCGTTGGTACCACCCATTGGCATGGCAAAACTTGGCAAGGCTAACATTTCTAGCAAACCAAGCAGACTTGAAGAGTATCGCAGTGTCTCTCCATTCACAAACAAAGAAACAAGTAGGTACAAATAACTGCATGTGAAAGCGATTACCGTTTATCTCGGACAACCCGCACCCTTGTTACACGTCCAAACTTTGCAAATTTCTTCTCCAACTCTCGCTCTGTGGTGGCATAGCTAAAACCTGCAACAAACAGATTCCGCCCAGGCTTACCCAATCCAGTCTTCCTGTTGGCAGGTGGTGACCAACATCTTTTAGGAGAATGATGCCTTGCTGGAGGTGATCTGTGCCTTGGTGAATGCCTTCTTCTACAATGTAAAAATATATATATAATTAGTACCAACAACATTATAAAACAATAAAAGAAGTAAAACAATCTAGTAACAAAACATAGATCTTCTACTTAAAGTTGCAGAGTCAGAAAACATGTGGTACTGTTGGTTTAAAACATGCTCATCCAAATTCAGATAACAAGAAGGTTGGAGGTTTACTCAGTGGTACACCAAAAAATCACCTTGGAGATCTTCTATGGTGATTCCTAGAGTGTGGAGACCCTGATCGAGATCTACCATGCTCCCTTTTATGTCTAGAGGAATCAGTTTTCCTTGATGGTGACCTTGATTTTGATCTATCTCTCTTCCTTGTTGGGGAGTCCCTCTTTCTTGTTGGGGATTCCCTCCTCCTTGGAGAGGAATCTCTCTTTCTTGGTGAGTCTCTCCTTCTTGGAGAGGAATCCCTCCTTGTTGGGGAATCCCTCCTCCTTGCTGAGGAATCTCTCTTTCTTGGTGAGTCTCTCCTTCTTGGAGAGGAATCCCTCCTTGTTGGGGAATCCCTCCTCCTTGGTGAACCCCTCCTCTTGGGTGAGGCTCTTCTTTTAGGAGATGGAGATCTTCGCCGTGGTGACCCATGCCTCCTTTTAGGGGATGGAGATCTTCGCCGTGGTGACCCATTCCTCCTTTTAGGGGATGGAGATCTTCGTCGTGGTGACCCGTGTCTTCTTTTGGGGGATGGAGATCTTCTGCGAGGTGACCCATCTCTTCTTTTAGGGGATGCAGATCTTCGGCGTGGTGAACCATGTCTTCTTCTAGGGGAAGCTGATCTTTGTCGCGGTGACCCATCTCTTCTTTTAGGGGAAGCTGATCTTCGCTGTGGTGACCCATCTCTTCTTCCAGGGGATGTAGATCTTCGGCGCGGTGACCCATCTCCACGCCAAGATTGTGCTTTTCTTTCTGGAGAGTTATCCCGTGCATGTGGAGACAACTCATGTGAGGGAGCTCTTCTACGGTTGGTGTCATGGTTTTCAGGAGATCCAGGAGATCGGGACCGATGTCTTGCTGGTGGGCTTCGAGAGTCAGCCAAATTATCACCCTCTTTTGCATGATGTGGTGAGTCCAGTTTCTCAGATGAATGAGCATGAGGTGACCTTTCTACTGAAAGTGAGACCCTCCTGGCTGGTGATGGTGTGCCCTTCTCTAGTCCTGCAGACCTTTCAGGTGGAGAATCCCACTGATTGCCAGGCGTGGAAATGCCATTCTCGGTACCAGGATCTTCCTGCTCCATCCCATCCAAATAGGAAGGTGCAGTTGCAGAGTTGAAGTTCTCATTGTCATGTTCATCATGAGGATTAGAATTCCCACCATTCATTTGATCATCATCTGCCCCATTCACTTCATTGTGAAAAGTCTCATGTAACTTTCTGTTGTCCTTATTTCCCATCTGAGGCGCAGAAGAGTTTGGAATTTCATCATCATCATCACCGCTATTGCTAAATTGATAATCCCTACTGCTATTATCAGCTAACATAGAGTCACCAAGATAGGCATCAAAATGTGTAGTTTCTTGTTCAAAGTTTGATATATCATTACCACTGCTTTCATGAAGCTCTGGAGGAAGCACACCTTCAACCACTTCTGTATTCTGATGCACATCATAACCCCGAGAAGTGGTACGTACTTCACAGTCATCATTATGGTGAACTTTCCGTTCAGCTGCATCGTTTTGCATATCAGATTCTATATGCACATGATGTTCCTCGTCTTGCTTCAGGGGAGATGCTGGACTAGTCGAAGCAGATTTCATTGTATTGCACATGATCTGATCATTCATATAGGGTACAGAATCTGCAGACAAATATGAAATTTGATCGGCTGCGTCAACTAAAAGTCCATCATTCAGTGGTGGGGATTCAGGTTGTGTAATTCCTTCACCATGATAATCCATGTGCTCCAACAAGCAACCATCTTGATCTCCAAATAAAGGACCAGGGTCTCCACAAGTCCCATCCAGACTTCTCTCAGGGGATATGTAATCCATCTGGATGTTGAATAAACAGCAAAAATGGAATAGTAAGAGTACATTACAAGAGAGAATTTTATAACAGAGAACTGCATAGATGATAATGCATACCATGCCCAGTTTATACAGTTGAGATACTGATAAAACCCTAAATTAGCATGACACGATAACATTTAAATTCACACATAAAAGGTAACAAACAGCAGAAGATAAATCAAAGCAGCAAAGTCGCCAATTTCCCACCTGATCTCTGTAGAGGATAGCCTCAGATTCATATCCACTAAGATAAACAAAATACGGACTTACTTGTGATGTGGCATTTACAATTAAAGAACTGAAACAATCACAGCATTACATGTAACAAAAAAGAAAATTGTTCTTAAGGAAGAACAATAGTGCAATCCGTTTGTGCAGACGTCCAGCATTTGCAAGTTGCAGGAGCAGGAAATGCAATAAAATGGAAGGATGGTGTGCTCGCAAGGGTGCATCATGAAGCATAAAAGACAACACTGGAACAGCAAAGTAAAACATCCAGTAAAAGACTGCCAGTGCTCCAAACACAATCCAGCGAGGCAACTGTATTTCGAGCAATTTTGCTAATTCAGCTGATGTGGCAACAATAGCAACAACCATGACCCATTCTTAGTACAGTTCTTAAGGACAAGGCATTCGTAATGCTGAACTGTGTCAGTCTATTTATTAGCTAATCAGAACCAAACAAACAAACTGAAATCTTTCCAGAGATTTCAAATTTCTCTTCTGACGACTTATATACATAATTTACACGAACAGTCCTCAACCGCTTAGACCCTGGCGAAACTGAATTTCCATATTTGAAAGGCAGGGCTGCTACTATAGGTTCATCAAACTGGCCTAACACAAGAAAAGGACCATTTATAAAAATAAATAACCAATTTTGACACTTCAGAGCAACAACATGTTCCCAAGTTGTTGAGCAAACATTTATCGTAACAAGTGCAATATGTTAATACAGCTCTTACTACAAGGCAACAATGCCACCTGGCCCTCTACTGGCACACCCCTAAAACACTACTACTAGCTGAAGTGGCAAACCGATATTACAAGGAAACGAATAACAAAGCCCACGACCAAATCGACAAGTTCTAACCTGATACCTCGTCCAGATCCGCATTACGCTTTCACGTCCATCGAGCACATAAAACGGAAACTTAACCGCGTGGAATTATGACCGCACAACCCGTACTAATTTCGGTGTGTAATACAAAAACAAGCAGCATCGAAGCCACTGCTGCATCTAGGCTGTTGGATCCCAGTTCCAGGCAAACGCAATTTCAAATTGACTGATCCCCGTGAAAACCGCATCTGGGGCTAGGATTTACCCGCACAAACCCCAAATTACGACAATCGCGCGAGGGAAAAACAATCGAAGCAAACCCTAAGGGAAATGCGGTGTCGTGTACCGATCTGTGCAGCCAGACTCCCCGCCCCCATCACCAACTAGAATTCCGACCGCAAATATGAGGGGTAAATTGGGGAGAGAAACCACCGAGAGCAGAACCCTCACCTACGAAAGACGCCACGGAGGCAGCCACTTCTGCAGTGGGAGTCCTTCCCTCCTTGCTCCGATGTCCCTTACCCCGGCCCGTGAGAGAAAATTCTCTCCTCCTCCTCCCCCTCCTCCACCCTTGGAGAGAGAAGGGAAGAAGAAGCAATGGATTGAGATTTTTGGGAGGCCGTACGAAATGGAGGGCTCGTGGGGCGTAAGTAGCGTGTGTGGGTACGCTCACCCCCGCGCGGGTTCGCGCAAGGCGTGGGAACCGAGGATCGGGGCCCACCTGGCCCGCGGGCCACGTGTGGAGCCGGTGCGGGCGGGTTTGTTGAGGACGGTAACCACCACCTAACCGGTGTCTGGACCCATCATCGCCGCGTCATATTGGGCCAGGACGAGCCCTTGCCCTTGGACCGGAGACTAATTTTGTGCACAACTATCTCTACACTATCTACTCAAAAAAATCTACTAAAAAAAACTATCTCTACACTAGCTTCTTCTTCCCCTCAAAAAAAAAAAACTCGCTCATTCTGTGTCCTTTTCTAAAAAAAAGCTAATTCTTCGCCCCCTAAAAAAAATAATTCTCCGAAGTAGTTTTCCCTCGAGTTAGGGTTCTGGCCCCTTTCGCCGACTCTTTACCGGCGTTGAGACCACCTTGTACCTCGGCTCCCCCTCCTCCGTCGACTCTCTCGGGCTGCAATCGGGGCAATCTTGTCTTATTGCCGACCTTGGTAGTTGCAGGGATCGTGGGGTTTCTTGCTATGGTTATCTCTGGTGCAATCGGATCGTGGTTTGGGCAGAAGAAGATGGCGTCTGATGGCTCTGCTAGTTCATTTGTTGTTGTTGACCACGATCTGGAGAAGATGGTGTCGGAGTTGGGCTTGTGAGAGGAGGATTTGACCATCGTGGTTTTTTAGGAACATGTCCCGACATAATAACAATCTATTAGGTGGATGGCCCTAGCTAGGGTTCACAAAGAAGGGGAAATCGGTCATTATTGGTTATTTAGGAACATGAGATCTGCATGGCATTTCACTCAGAAGGCTCACATCCGCCCTCTCGAGCAGAATCTTTTACCCCTCAATTATTTTGCTTAGGGGACTGGGAGAAGGTTATGGATGGAGGTCTATGGGTGTTTTGTGGTGACAATGTTGATTGCCCCCTATGATGGCTTCACCAAATTGACGTTAATCAAACTCAATCATGTGGATATATGGATACAAATGCACGACATTCCTGATGGCTATCCTCCCTTTGTTGAATCACTGATTCTCATCGGGTGATCATCGAGACCAGAGCTACGATGCATCTCTTGTTGGGGAACGCAGTAATTTCAAAAACAAATCCTACGCACACGCAAGATCCATCTAGGTGATGCATAGCAACGAGAGGGGGAGAGTATGTCTACGTACCCTCATAGACCGAAAGCGGAGGCGTTATGACAACGCGGTTAATGTAGTCGTACGTCTTCACGATCCGACCGATCCTAGCACCGAAGGTACCGCACCTCCGGGATCTGCACATGTTCAGCTCGGTGACGTCCCACGAACTCTAGATCCAGCTGAGGTCAAGGGAGAGTTTCGTCAGCATGACGGCGTGATGACGGTGATGATGAAGCTACCGGCGCAGGGCTTTGATAACCCACAAGTATAGGGGATCACAACAATTTTCGAGGGTAGAGTATTCAAACCAAATTTATTGATTCGACACAAGGGGAGCCAAAGAATATTCTCAAGTATTAGCAGCTGAGTTGTCAATTCAATCACACCTAGAAACTTAATATCTACAGCAAGGTATTTAGTAGCAAAGTAATATGATAGTAGTGGTAACGGTAGCAAAAGGTAATGATAACAAAAGTAATGTTTTTTGGTATTTTGTAGTGATGATAGCAATAGCAACAGAAATGTAAATAAGCGAAGAACAATATATGGAAAGCTCGTAGGCAATGAATCGGTGATAGAGAATTATGCCGGATGTGGTTCATCATGTAACAGTCATAACCTAGGGTGACACAGAACTAGCTCCAATTCATCAATGTAATGTAGGCATGTATTTCGAATATAGTCATACGTGCTTATGGAAAAGAACTTTGCATGACATCTTTTGTCCTACCCTCCCGTGGCAGCGGGGTCCTAGTGGAAACTAAGGGATATTAAGGCCTCTTTTTAATAGAGTACCGGACCAAAGCATTAACACATAGTGAATACATGAACTCCTCTACGGTCATCACCGGGAGTGGTCTCGATTATTGTCACTTCGGGGTTGCCGGATAATAACACATAGTAGGTGACTATAGACTTGCAAGATAGGATCAAGAACTCACATATATTCATGAAAACATAATAGGTTCAGATCTGAAATCATGGCACTCGGGCCCTAGTGACAAGCATTAAGCATAGCAAAGTCATAGCAACATCAATCTCAGAACATAGTGGATACTAGGGATCAAACCCTAACAAAACTAACTCGATTACATGATAAATCGCATCCAACCCATCACCGTCCAGCAAGCCTACGATGGAATTACTCATGCACGGCGGTGAGCATCATGAAATTGGTGATGGAGGATGGTTGATGATGACAACGGTGATGGATTCCCCTCCGCGGAGCCCCGAACGGACTCTAGATCAGCCCTCCGAGAGGTTTTAGGGCTTGGCGGCGGCTCCATATCGTAAAGCGATGAATCCTTCTCCTTGATTTTTTTCTCCCCGAAAGTGAATATATAGAGTTGGTGTAACACCCCGGATGTAACTTTCCCAATTTGTACTCCAACTCTTGCCATTTCCGGCGTTAAGTTATTTTATTTTCTCGGGTTCGGGTCTTTGTCTCCGTGTGTTGTTATCGTTGTCATGCATCTCATATCATGTCATCTTGTGCATTGCATTTGCATATGTGTTCGTCTCATGCATTCGAGCATTTTCCCCGTTGTCCGTTTTACATTCCGGCGCTTCGTTCTCCTCCGGTGGTTATTTCTACCTTTCTTTTGTGTGTGGGGACTAAACATTTCTGGATTGGACCGAGACTTGCCAAGCGGCCTTGATTTACTACCGGTAGACCGCCTGTCAAGTTTCGTATCTTTTGGACTTCGTTTGATACTCCAACGGTTAACCGAGGGACCGAAAAGGCCTCGTGTGTGTTGCAGCCCAACACCCCTCCAAGTTGGCCCAAAACCCACCTAAACCTGCTCCATCATCTAGAGCGTTCGATCACGATCGCGTGGCCGAAAACCGCACCTCATTTGGACTCTCCTAGCTCCTCCTATGGCTATATATAGTCCACCCTCTCAAAATTCGCGGTACCACTCTTTCCCTAACCCTACCTCTTTCTTCATCCGCGCGCCGGACGTGTCCGCCGGCGCCAGACAAAATCGTCGCCACCGCCGCCCGCACCAGTGGCGTCCCGCCACGTGGCGCCCGCCGCCTGCCGCCGCCCGAGGCCCGCGGGGCACGACCGCGGCCCTCCCGGCC